ACAGACAGACAGACACACATACAGACAGACAGACAGACAGACAGACAGACAGACAGACAGACAGACAGACAGACAGACAGACAGACAGACAGACAGACAGACAGACAATTACAGACAGTACGGGATTTCAAGACAATACAGTAGAGGCAATACAGACATACAGACGGTACAGGATACAGACAGCCAGACAGACAGACAGCCAGGCACCCATGCATGCACCCGTACAAACAGACTGACATACTGCATCCCATGCATGCATGCGTACTTACAATCATGCACACTGCCTTGTCCGAAGCCTGGACAACGATTTGGCCTTCTAATTGCCCGCATGCCGAAAACAGCCGACTTTGCACAAGCAGGGCCGGGCCGACTGGATCCGGGAACAGAAAGGGCAACGAGAGTTGACATTTTGTCGCCGGGGCCGCACTAGACAGAGGCTTTCCCCAACACCAATAACAGTCGCAGGCTCCAGGTGGATATGACTGCGTGACGTGCGGAAGCAGAGTCACTCTATACATTAGGAGAAGAAGAACTGTACCAAAACGGGGGGTCAACAGCGCAGGGGGTGTTTGGAAAAGTGCTTGGGGACAGTTGACGTGGCCAAGCCCGAGTAGGATTTCAAAAAAGTTTCAGCAAACGGGAAGGAGGTCTGAACAAACAACACCTGGTGCCAGCAGAAAAGTACTGGAATGGTTTAAGCTCTCGCCCCTTGTGATCGGTGCAACTGAGAGTTTCAAAAAACAAGGAAACCATAAGGCTGTCACAAAAGTATCAACAGTACCCAATCTTCCACCAGTCCAGATCCGAAGATGCTTTCCGCCACAAGCTGTTATGTATGCACAGAGTGAGGGCCTTAAACAAAGTGGCGTTGGCGATCCGGCACCTACAGTGTGTGTCACGCCGGGTTGTCTCGGGCCAGGATCCGATGTTGGAATGTCGGAACCCTGCCGGCCAAGTGCAAGAAACCTGCCCAAGGCTTTACTATAATCGGACTTCTGCTGCGGAGCCTGGTTCCCAATCTGGAATCTCGATTTTCTCTCGTGAAGATCAATTCGCTGGCTTCCTGCATTGGCTGTCTTTCTTGAAACATTTTTTAGCTCAGGACGTGGCGGGTCGAAAACAAAACCGGGCAACATCTTCGTTGTTACGTGCGCTGAGGTTGCGAGATCCTCGTTGGAGGTCGTTTGAGCGGTGGGCCGAACAAAAGAATACGTGGGGCGTCGTTTTCTCTTCGGCATGTTGTGGGTGGAGCCCAAGCAGCGGGCCGTATGCACTGACGTATCCAAGGAGCGATGGCTTCAAGCTCGAGAAGTCCCACAGCCGAGCTTGAATTCAAGTTTTACATGATACACAAGTTCGGTATGTGCGATTCGGCAAACTTTCGCATGATGGAAAAAGGCGGCTTGGTGAGGGAGCCATCAACCGCTGTGACAATGTGCAGTTCATTGCATAATGCTTTGCAGCAGGGCATATCGGCTTATTGCCTTGTTGGCTTATCGCAGACTCTTCATTGGCAAACTCATTGACACAGGTAACACCACATGGTCCAAACAGGCGAAAGATGAGTCGGACGTGACAAAAACACGAAGCCATAAAGATAAACCCCAAGAAAAAGATTGAGGGACTGCAGGACCATGGACCGAGTGACTTTGGGACCGGGGGTGCTGATTGCATTTGCATACGGACGCTGCGAAAGCAAATCCCCACAACGGTGAGAAGGTAGGTGCCCTTTTCTGTTAGAATGTTCAGACAAGGAGACGTACTCTCGATGGAAGAACCTTGAGAACGACCCCCAGCAGTGAACATAGCTTCGTACAACGCTAGCATACTCCAAGGGGCCCGGTTGACCCAGGCCTTCTCTTGAATGCTCTCTTGTCGGCCCTGGATCGCCTGGTCGATGAAGTCCACCAGTCTGTGCTGCTCCTTCCAAAGGATGGATCTGTGGCGTTCGGTCTCTGACTGAGGATGGATTTCTTCCGGCGTGTCTTCTCATCACGGCACTTTGCTTTGCTTGCTTCTGCTACTCGCAAGGTCTTTTGTCAGACGCAATGTCCATGGTCTTCAGCACGCATCCATCGGCGAATGCCTGTACATAGTACTCCGCGTAGCTGGGTTCACAAGACGTGGATACCGTATCCTTCGATTTTGACGCCTTCCCTCAGCTGAGATTCTCTTGGCGTGTGTTGTGATTCCGAATCCCCGTATCGCTTCACCCTGATCCCTAGGAGCCGTCAGTGAAGAACTAGCGCACGCTGGTTAGCTGCACGATTGCAAGAGCTGACTCCGTGTGGAATGGAATGGAACAAACGCAAGGTCTGATCGAAGCCTGTCTGCCAAGTCATTGCTACTACTATTTCTGGCAAGACGAACAGCTCAATGCAATCTGACCATAGAGTCGGCGAAACCAGAGAATGAGAGAAGGTAGAGGGCATGTGCGCTCTCTCACTCACATAGGCACAGGTTACTTCCAAAGCAGGGCCTAAGTTTGAGGACACCTGTAGCATGTCCGGTCCCGAAACCAACACGGCACCGATGTATGCAACGAGGGACCAGATCAGCCAGGTTAGATTTCTACGACGAAACATGGCCGATCACTTCAACACCTCGCAAGAGCGTCCATGGTCCACCTATGAACAAATATCCGGAAGCCGTGCAGTCAAAGAGCTACAGGTCAGCATTCTGAGAGTCTGTGCCGCGCGGCCCAGTCCTTTCCCTTCTTGATCAAGTCCGACGTCAAGGCGCGCATGCGCTCCAGCAAGAGCTCTTCGCGAGACTGCGAGCAGTAAGACATACGCAGGGAAGGCGGTCGCATCATATTGCAAGCTCACAAACTGGCAAGTCGTTCAAGAGCTATGGTCTCACTTTGCCTTCTTCTCCCGCTGCGATGCCGCGGATGTCGTGGGCCTCTTGTCAAAGACGAGGACCGACACATGAACGCACAGATACATCCTGCTTTTTGGACAAGTAATCTTCTGCCCCTTTGCAATAGCCTACGAGCGTCAGCTCTCTGTTGTCTCTTGGCTTTGCTGCACTCTTCTGGCCAGCCTGTTGGTTGCATCCAGAAGGTCTTGGACTCCTGACTGCGGATTGTCCTGGGTTACTAGCTCAGAGATTGATTCAGCTTACGACAGTTACTATGCAGCCGTCAGCTACTGCTGCGCGCTTTCACGGATGCAGTCTTTCTACAATTCACCGGCGGCCAGAGGTTCGGACAGAGATCCTCTGTTGCCCACCCCTGCATCCCCTGCCCCATCGCCAAACAACGGCCTGCTCTCTGACCGATCTACTGCCGGTCCTCCAGCACCACGAGCATGTCCCATCATGCTGCTGCACCACATGAATGAAGCACTGTCACAAAGCATGGGCCGGACGAAAAGTTTTCCATGTTGGATTTTTGGAACGTCCGCTATTCTCCCATTTCGGTGCGGGTCAGGCATGCCTGCTGATCTCGGCTCGATGCCAAGCACACACAAGCCTTCGAAACCGAGGTCCCTAGAAGTCTGCCAAGTCGCTCTAATCATGCTTCGCCGAGGCACTTGCTTGACGACCTGAGGGCCCTGAGGAGTTGTCCCGCCAAGCCTCTTGCTGGGTCAAATCTTGGACATGCATCAGAACAGCAATGAGTCTGACTTAAAACCGAAACCCTGAACTGCCCTGAACCCTGAAGTCCCAAAGCCTCAAAACCCCCTGGTGCCCGCGACAAAAAGGACCACCTTAAACCGACTTACCCTCAAAACCTGTTGGCTGGCTCTCCAGGCCGAGAGCCGCCAAGGCACGTCTTGAGCCAGTCTTCTTCTCGCGGACCCTCTGCATGTTTCATGTGAAACTTTCGCAGCATTGCATTCACCTGCAAGGTGCCGGTGCTGGATCGAGGTTTGAGTACCGCAAAGTCCAGTGTTGGTATTGGGTCTCTCAGCACAGCTGCTGCTCATAATGTCGCTAGTATCCACCTCTTCTGCCGAGGCTAAGCTGACAGCTGGCACGGGAATCAAGTAGCAGCCCCTGGAAATCTGCCCAAAGGTAAATGCTATCTTCCCTTTCCGGGAGTCATGACACAGTTCGATTCATGACAGTAGCAGCATTCGCGACGGAGTCTGGTGATTCAGGGCTCGCTCTGTGTTGGCAAAGCTGGGAGCGCCTGGCCGTGGCCTTTGTTCGAATGGGCTAGCGAGGGGGCGAGGGGCCAAAACACAACGCATGATGATCTCGGAGCTATGGCATGGCTTGCCGCTCACTCAAGGGCAGTACTTCTCTGCATGACATGTCGAAGAGGTGGGGTATAGTACCTGACGGGGGGAGAACATTTCTGTCCCGCGAAGTGCAGGTGCCGAAAGAATGTGTGGGCGGGGTTGAGGGGAGGGCTGATTGTTGTGAGAGAGTCCATGGCTAGTGCTGCTCCGGTTACTCGTGCCTTCAAGACTACTTTCAGCAAGACTCCTTCGACTGCCGTAGCAAAACTTCTAAAGCCTCAGGCCCGAAAGCCAAATCCCAAACCCAGAGCAGTGCATAGCCGGAGTCCCAAACACAACTACCCTCAGACCAAATCTCCAACCCGGAGCAGTGCAACCACGAAGGCCCACGTGTGCACCCTGCCCAGAGCAGTGCCACCCGAGAACACTGGCAGTCGTGTGAAAACGCTCGATTCACGAACCTACCCTAGGCTGCGCATGCTACGGACTGGAAACAACCATGGGTTTTTGCAGTTTCCCAAAAAACAGTGTAGACACGCATAAATCCACTATGTAGTACACAAAGATACACGAATCATAACCAAAGCCCGGGTGAAACCAGCGTTTTCATCAAAAGCAAAGCCATACAAGCCCGTTTCTCGTCGGGGCTGTGTAGTCGGCAGCGTGTGCAATGAATAGATCATGCGTCATGTGTCACCGGCGCCTGTGTCGTGAAACGCACTTCCGGTGACGTAGGGGTTTGGGGCGACAGCAACCGGGCAAAACCCTGCGGAAGCATGCGGAAGTGAAAGAGGCATTACTACTGACTATCGAAATTGAGAATTACCTGACCACCTGCGAGTTCTTGGCACAATTAGCCCCTCGAATGGAAACAGAGCGCATGGCTACAGGAAGCAGGCAGAAAACAGCGGAAAATGTCCGTGGCGGAGATATTCCGACATGCTGCATTGGTGCCCAGTCGCTTGCTCGGACAATGAGAGCAACTTGTTGGTGTTGGTCCTTCCAGGCAGCTGTTATGCACAGTTATCTGCACAGTGTGTCGTGGGTGCGGGCGACCGGGGATGGCGGTTGGAATAAGATGGGCCGAGTACCGCGCGGCTGTCGGAACAAACATGAGGTCAGAACTTCGAGCACTTCGCAGCAAGCACAACCAGTGGCACGAGAGTGTCCTCGCTTGACCGATCATCCGCACGCCGTCGGAGACAGACAGGTCGATCTTCTTCGCCTACTATAGGACACGGGCGCAAAGCTAAATGGTCGAGGCAGCTTGTCTTGAACCTCCAAAACCTTGTCCGAGTCTGTGAACATTTTCCGAAGATCTAGTTCAGATGCAGTAGCACCGTTCAAAATTACATTTCATCCAAGGTTTCAGGAGAGATAGGTTACCCTAAAACCTAAACTAAACCCAATACGTCACTGCTGATGCAATCGTCCACAACCTTGCCTGTCTCGGACACAACAAATTTCTGCGAACGTCCAAGCAACCAATATATTCAATTGAACAATCCAGCCTGAGTCTGTCACTAAGCCCTTACACCCCGGGGGCGCTCCAATACCTGAAAAAGCACGCTCCCACCAGAGAGCCCGCTAAATTTGAGGAATGATGAACAGGATCCTGGAATCCAGCACCCATCCCACTGATGCTTTGGACGGCGACCGATAATAGGGGTTAGTGAGGATTTTGTTAAGGTCTCTTGGATGAACGCACCTTGCAGGGAAGCTGCTGCCAGGTTCACAAGTGCATCTTCGTTGGATGGGATCGAAAAGGCCCGTGAGGCTTTGGAAGGCTCGCACTGCAAGACTGCAGGATCAACCTGCTTCTTGGCAAACGCGGACGAGTTCTCGATCAAGTACTCAGCATTTTGCTTTGTCATCCTGTGTTCAGAACAAGCAGTGAATCATGTTTCAAAGTTGCTGCTGTCACGGCAGACAATGCAACCAGTAAACGACAACATGTGCATGAGCCAGTTCTCGAGTCCTGTCTTTGGAGAAAGCTTTCTTTAAACTTCGCACTGTGACCTTGGGGTGACGGATTGAAGCACATGTCCGAAAGGGTCACACGTCGATTTCCACTCTGCCTTGCTGGGCTACACGTTCGTCCAAAGCCCGGGGACGAGCTCTGCAGGATGCGCAGGAAAATCATCATCTTCGAGGTCGCAGATGATGTACCACCTTCAGACATTATGGCCTACAGTGTGATCGAATGCTGACATGACCCCCGTGGAGAAAGATGGGTCTTCAGCAATCAACTGTCAACACTGAGAGATGCGAGGAATCCGAAGACACTCTCGCTTCCAACGTCACTCACCACGCAAGCGGGCCACATGTTGATGAAAGACTTGGTATCCTTCAGCGTGTCCACAGCTTCACTCACCTGGCTTCCATTCTGGTGTTTTTTTGCGGCTTACTTGCCATGATGCAAACACGGCAGTTGCTCTAATCACAACTTCTGCATGTCATGTCCTTCACAGCACATCAATACCAAGCGAGACAGGCGCCTGCTCCAGCAAAGTGGGTGGCTCGCCTGCATTGGCGTGAATGCGACCGTAGGCCTGCACACATCTGCATCGGATTCGCTTGCGGCTCTCCTACTTGCATCTATGCTTCCCGTCTGGAGGATCAGTCCAGCTTCCGGGGAGGAGACGTCGTATCTTCGGATCGGGAGCCTCAAAAATGAGGCCGACCAAGATGTTGATCATCAAGGTACCTGGCACGATTGCCATGCACATAGGCAGCTCAGCTCGACACCCTCAATCCTCAAGCTCTGTGTGGAAGGGATTTAGGATGGCTTGCGCAATTTAGGGGAGAATGTAAGGGTCCGCTGGTCCCCGACGAGGGATCCAGCCAAGTTCTGACATGCTATTCAATGGAACTGTGCTGGTTGCACTGTACTTTCCATGGAACGGCTTGTCCCGAATGCACAGGGTATAGCATTTTGGGCTCACACGTGCTCACTACGTCGGCATTTGACATATGGAGTACAGTTCTCCTGACAGCGGCACTGGTGACAGGACTGCACAGAACAAGGATTCAGACTCACAACAGCAAGGCTCTCTGGCGGCAAAGCGGCTCATCAAGGCCAAGTACGTGAAGTACCAAAAATAAGCCAGCACCTGCACGACGTGAGGCTCTGGATGTTTCAGGTGCGAGGACTAAGCGGAAGATGACCCTTTGCACACCTGATACCAGACTTCATACACATCGATATCGTCCATACCAACGCCCGAGCGCCAACAGAAGAACCTGGGCTGGACTGCTGAGCAGTTTGCGCTCACTGATCCGCTGTCTGTCTTTGCGAGGCAGCAGAGTGGGCTGGACAAGACCCCTCGACATTCTCAAGGCTGCTGTGTCCTTGAGACAAAAATCATGTTGAAACTCCAAATCCCAGGAGCAAGGAGTAGATGAAGGTGTGGAAGCCTTCCACTGTGTAGCCGAATAGAACCATGCCAGCTGATGCGAAGCACAAGAAGACCTGTCAAGCCACACGGGCGGGGCAAGCTGCCACTCCGCGGGGTGCAACTCGCAGCCTCTAAAAAGTTTCGTGACTTGCTTTAAAGGTGTTGCTGCGACGAGCACAACGAGACCCCGACAATGAGATTACTTGCGGACACTTCCGAGGCATGCCTTCCAGGCAAAGCGGCAGCGCGTTTTTGTCCATGCCGTAGTCATATGGTGCCCCTAACAGCGCTTACTGTTCAGCTGAAGCACTAACGCAAAAGCGATCGCGAAGTGGAACACGTCTGTCGCAGAGTCTGTAATGGTTTGGATCACCTGGTGGCACGCATGTTCACATGCTGACTTGACGCGACTTGCTCTGCTGGTGGGTGGGGGCGAAAGATCCGCCCCGGCCCCCAACTATATTTTGGGATCCATCAACAAACAATCGCAAGAAATCTGCCACATGCTGCCCTTGCTACGCATCAGCTGCGAACAAGGAGCCACATCCAAGCGGTCATTGGATCCTCGCTACAGTCGACGAAAAAGTGTACGATAAAATCGCTTACATTCAGCTGTCGCCCTTCACTTGTGCTTGTTCCTACACACACACACACACAGTGCGCGTAGTAACAAACATCGCACTAATGAAGCGCTAGCCAAAAGCTACAGGCGTGTACAAGTAGTATCCGTGTTGGTCGTAGCTCGAAGCAGCCCCCGGCCGGACACACTGCCCACCAAACCCGGGGCATGTGCGGGACGGTGCCAAGTCACGGAATCGCTCACAGGTCCGTGTCAATCGGCGCTTCGTCGAAGACGGCCATAATCTCATAGACCGGGGCTCTGACCCTGGTCCAGCTCTCGGCCCAGGCCCGGGACATGCAGCCCCACATGGCCCCACGAACTGGCGTCCAAAACGTTACCCGTGTAAATACCCGCTCTGCTGATGGCGATGCCCTCCAAGTGCTCTGGGCTGAGCACGCCGCAGTCGAAGAAGACGTGGTTGCCCAAGAGAAGGACGAAGCAAAGTCCGGGCGATGCCGTAGTAGCCGACGCTCTCTCCGCGTGCACAAGAGTCACTAGAGAAGCTGTATGAGCAGTTGTATGAAGGACTGTGCGAAGCAGCCGAAAGGAGAGAACAGGCCAGTAGTTCTTCGGACTGAATCAGGGAGTTGAAAGGGTGAGGGATGGGTCTGCTTCTCCGGAAATTAGGCTTCCTGAGGGAATAGGGTTCAGTGACGTTGCCGCTGCATACATCAATGTGTATGGTGCAGAACCATCGTTTGTGCAACATCCTGTGCCGGTCCCGCCAGCCGAATTTGTTGCAAACGCTAGAGCCCCTACTGTGCCCCTTCCTCCTGATTACCCCTGGCCAGTAATGCCAGAAAATCAGTTTCGGTACGTTGATGATGTCGTTGAGGTGAGCAGTGAGCCCAGCAAAACTTCGATAGGAGAGTGGACCACTGATTCGGGTATGCCTAGGGGTCCTGGGTTAGTGGTGCAAACGTTGCTGCTGTGGTCGATTCAATCTGCTGCTGGTTATAGGCAAGGTGAGCCAGACGATGACGGTACGTGGGAGTTTTGGGTGTTGATGCCTTTTGCAGCATACTGGGTGCTGTAAGTGCTTGTCTTTGGGTAAAATGGGGGAGCTCGCCCTATTCCGAGGACCGGAGCGTGAATTGTGACTCAGCTGGCCGAGGGCAAGATGTAGACGCTAGCGTGTGCAGTTCTGAGTCTGTTACACCTTTGAGAAGACGACGATCTGAGGGACTGCAGTTTTCCCCAGTGGTGAATGTGACTATAGCAGCAAGGTCTCCTGATAGGGACTTGAGGGCTGCGGTTGAGTATGATGAGTCTGGAAGAGCACAGACACGTTCTGGGAGTGCTTCTACTTCCAGTGGTGGCCGGCTGCAGAACCCAGTAGGCCTCCCTAAGGGTTTAGGGCCTGAAAAGACCCCAGAAGTGTCAAGGAAGGAGCCGCAAAACCCGGTAGATTCCCCCTTGGGTTTGGGTCCTGATGGGAACCTTAAGGAAGAGCCGAGGAAGGAGCTGCAAAACCCAGTAGGTTCCCCCCTGATTTTAGGTCCTGATAGGAACCCTAAGGAAGAGGTGAGGAAGGAGCCGCGGAACCCAGTAGGACCCCCCTTGGGTTTAGTTTTTGGTAGGAACCCAAAGGAGGATGCCAAGACGGAATCGCGAAACCCAGTAGCTGCCCCTAATGGTTTAGGTCCTGGTAAAGACCCTAAGTAAGGCCTTCCTAAGGCAATGCTGAATGAGTTCCGAGCGGACTCCACAGATGCTTTCCCCTGCGGGTTGGGCCTCGATAGGACCTTGGGTGAGGAGTCGCATTGTCAAACTGGGCAGTCAGCGGCTTCTAGCCGGCAAGTCATGGGTCCTCTAGGCGTCAGTGATCCTTCTGCGAGGGGAGCTGATGCGGAAGATTGGGTTCGTAGACCTTGGGGAGTGAAACAAAAGGTCATCCTGAGCTGTCCAGCTACGGCACCGGCTTCCGTCGTGTTGCTTATTCAGAACGGCGACTGCCTCCATAGTGGGCGCAGTTGTAGGCCAATGCAGTGCTCTGGGGCTCCAATACTAAGGTCACTGTGTCCCGTGTGCTTCGCTCCAGGAGTGCTACCATCTGGGCACCGAGGCGCTGAGAGATCGTATAGGATTGTGTATTTCACTAAGTCTGCTCACTGTGTACATGACAATAGGGAGTGCCCGGCCCTGTCAAACCGAGAAAATATCGAAAGCAGGCGACTCTGCAAGTGTTGCAGCTGGGGCCCCTGATTGTACGAACAAGTGCACAGCGATGAAAATGGAGAACGATCCATTTTAGGGGAGTGTGTGCAGAGCTGTGCATCAAACACGTTCTCCTGAGGCTGGGGGCTTGTGCATGCTGCCGATGTGCGAAGCCATGTTGGCTGGAAAACTTCGGGGTGGTGGGTTTCGATATGGCCCAGGTTCCCCAGGACGTCTAGGCATTTGCCATTCTCGGCAAAAGCCAGCAGATCATGTGTCACATCCTTTCAAGAGACTTTCAGTAGCAGCTTTGTATTCTGAGGTTGATGTGTACAGCTCAGGAAGCTACGAAGCTTGTTTGTTGGGTTGGTGTGAAAAAAGGTTGTCCGTGCGAGGGCATAAGTCCGATCAAGAGCTTGTTTCCTGCTTCGGCAATAATATTAATAACAATACGGGTGTAGTGTATAAACTCGTGTTAATATTAACACAAAGAACAGCAACACATTATACGTAAAGGTTCCTGCC